AGGTCCCTAAAAACTGACTCTCCCAATGAGAAATATCTTTTGATTTCTTGACCCCTGGCACCAAGGATGTTGTTTGTGGATCCAAGTAATAGAGATCACAGACAACTTTTCTCCAGCTATCATGAGGTTTCCCTTTGGTCCAGTGGTGAGTATTTTCATTTTCTTGATGCTGAGATGTAAGCCATACTGAAGGCTGAATTGGAAAAACTAGCCATTGAAAACTCTCAGGAGCATAGTTGTCTTCTACACATGGGCTCTCACCATTTTTCACTGTGAATTAGAATTGCCTTAGCAATTGGGTTTTATTCTTATTTATCACTGTCCATCTCACAGTGAATTATTTAGAAGGAAACCTACACATGTGATATTGTCCATACTCATCCCAGTAATCACTGCTGTCAAGTCAATTCCAACTCATAATGATCCTTCTCCATGTTTCCAAGGCTGTTAATCTTTATGGGAGGAGTCTGTTGATAGTTCTTAACTGTTAGAGGTAGTGCCTAACTACCTTAACCAAAAGGTTGGCAGTTTGAATCTGCCAGCCACTCTGAGGGACAAAGATAGGTGTATCTGTTAAGGCCATGTTATTCTCAATCACCTGCTACACATTGGAGAGCTGTATAGTAAATAAGGGTGATAGAAGAATTGATGCCTTTGAGGTGTGGTCCTGAATAGCCTATGGACTGCCAAAAGAACAAATAGATATGTCTTGGAGAAGATGGAGCCAGAGTGCCCCTTGGAGACCAAGACGATGAAGCTTCGTCCCATACTTCAGGCATGTAGTGAGGTGAGGCTGTTCATTGGAGAGGGACAATATGCTCAGAAAGAAGATGATGGGGTACGGGCAGAGAAGGAGAGGAAGACTCACAAAGAAATGGATTGACACAGTGACCTCAGCAGTGGGTTTAAGTGTTTCAGCAATGATGAAGATGGCACAGGATAGGGCAGAGTTCAGGTTGGCTGTTCATAAAGTTGCTATGAGTCAGCTTGATTTGACAGCATCTAACAAGATGATGGTACATGTGAGGAGTAAATTTCTCCTTCCACGCAAATGTGGCAACCCAGATTGTCTCCATATATCACCACATGCCCTCTGGGGCAAAATCACTCCAATTCAGAACCACTAATCTAATAGGATGATGATGCTAATAAGTTGCAGTAAATGCCATAAATGTTGAAAGAACCTAGAGAAAGAGTCCAATTGCAATGAATTCATCAACCATTCCACAGGACAAAGATGAGGCAGTCTGTTTCTATAAAGATTTACAGCCTTGGAAACCTGTGGAGCAGGTCTCTGTCCTTTCTAGTTGCTTAATTAAAATTGACTCACTGGCAACCATTTCATGGGGTTTTGTTTGTTTTGAAAGTAGTACGCATATCTACTAGTAAGATAAGCATATCGGAAACAGTCTTGCACGGAGTGTTCCTGAACTGCCTTGTCTTCAAGATGTTTCCCACTTGGCCGGTAAAGTGGGTACCAGTGAGACTCCTTGTTTTCCTGTGGACGTGCCCAGTCCTGCCATATTTCAGAACTGAGAGCTGGAGGCCAAATGCTGTGGTCAGTTACTCATGCATAACCCCAGAAATAGTCCATTTTGGAAATTTATACCTTGGAAGGAAATTTTGGTTCTAGAGGTAGACCAGCATTTGCTCAAGAATATATGAAAGTGTTTCATTCAGAATGATGATTATAGTGTGTTCTTTCTGTAAAGAAATTTTTATTGCTAAAATTCTCTCTCCTACAAAATTTAAGATTCCTTTCTTACAATCTTCTCCTTAAACCATAAGTAAATATTGTTCCATCGACTCTTTTCCTTTCAGCATGCCAACATGATTATAGGGTTTCACTGGAGAGCAAATGTACTTGTTCTTTTCAGGAGTTATTGGGGATTTTGGAACAAAAAGAGAATAAAAATCCCTTAACCTCAGTTCTGCAGCCTAGCATTGTTTATGCACAGAACTCATGAAGGAACTTCTCCTAGGGGAAATAAGAAACAACTGTTTCTGTTTAGCTCTGAGAGAAGGCCCCTATTTGAGATGGGGGTAGAAGATTAGCTCATAACACAAGGCCATTAAGAATTTTAAAACAATGCCATCTATTACACAGGCTTTGCTGTAAAACCTAAACTCTCACTTGTGGAGTTTACTTAGGGGAGAATCATTACTTTTAAAGCACTCAGGAATTCTGAGTGACAAAGCTTAACCAAGGGTGGTTGATTGGCTGGAATGCTTCCCAGAAGTGTGTATATTTTCTCGAATGATACACACTATGGAGACCTTTAAATGCCTTTGGACTTAGTTCATTGACTTAAACAACTACTATTTGAATGTAGGAGAATTTTGTAGTTAGATGCCCTCGCTTCATAGGTTTTGTAAGAGTTTAAAATGAGATAATGTAAGGAAAGGCTTATTTTTGAGCCATAAAACATTATATGAATATAAAGCATGGCTGTTATTCTCACTGCCAGTACAGCTGGGACCAAGTTCCCAAAAGACAGCCACTTATGTTGTGGCATTTTGTAGCGAGTGTGTGATCTGCATACTGAATTGCTGTGTCATTGTTAACTAGATTTTTGCCAAGGCCTGTGATCATCTCTGCTTTTAAATACATAAGTGTAACTTTTGCATTTGACCTCATCCCAGAGCCGCTGTAGTAGGCAGCATAACCACAAGGGACGTGCAGTCCACGGTAGTATCTCAGATTTGAAACGAGCACTCCTTCCCTAAGAGCCAGGGACTAGCGTGTGTTTACCTATTAAGAGCCAGATAGTAAATATTTTCGATTTGTAGGACACACAACCCTACCTAGTTGTTCACACCTGCCGTTGTAACCTAAGAGCAGCAATGTTGGTGTAGTTTAGTGCCATCAAGTCTATCCCAACCTATGGCAACCCTGGATACAAGAGAACAAAATATTTCCTGGTCCTGCAGCAATAGATATACATCAATAGGCATGACTGTGCTCAAATATAACTATTTATGGACACTAAAATGGGTACGCCACATAATTTTGATGTATAACAAACACATCATTGATTTTTCTTGTCATTTGTAAATATACAGTCAATCTTTAGCCTATGAGACATAAAAAGTTGGGGAGGTATGGTTTGCCATCTGCACTGTTGACGATAGTGAGTAGCTGGGCATAAAAGCACTGCCTTTAAATTCATTCCAACTCATGTTGACCCACTGCATTAGAGAGTAGAACTTCCTTGTAGGTTGTATTGGCTATAATATTTACAGAAGCCTTTCTTCAGAAGTGCTGCTGAGTGGATTTGAACCACCAACCTTTAGTAGTCAAGCACAAATTGCCTGTAACACCCAGGGGTCTTAAGCTGTGCACAAGTAGCTATTTAAATATATACTTACCCAGATAAGCAGAGTCAATTAAGCTGTGGACTAGGAATTGGAGTTTAACCCCTGCTCTGATGCTCTTGACACCAGCCTCAGACTACTTATTTATAAAATAGGGATAAAAACCTCTTCTGGCTCTCTCACAGTTTTGCTGTGACCCTCAAATGAAATCACAGCTCCACAGATCCGTTTATGTGCCTAAAATGTGACAGAAATACTTATATTTACTACCACTTTCATATAGTCTAATGCCTAACTACTAACCTAACAATCTCCCCAGTCAAGGGTGCCTTGTAAGAAAGACTTCTGTAAGATCGTTGTTGAAATGTGCCATTACATTGTCTCACAGTGCCCAAGTACCAGAGTAGAATTGTTCCTTAGGGTTTTCTAGCCTGTAATCTGTAAGTTGTATTCAATTCAGTGGCACATAACAACAACAGTCTTCATGGAATCATATTTCCATATGATTTCTTTTCTCAAATATTGTGCCTGGTGAATTTGAACTACTGACCTTCCAGTTCACAGCCAATCACTTAAGCAATGAACTCTAGAGGCTCCTCTCTGGAAGACTAGCCATTGCAACTTTCTGCTATACTGCCTTAAATAACTACTACGAGTTGTTTAGCACGGGTACAAGGCTCACTCCAGCAGGAAAAGTGGGAGGGAGAACTTTGTGTTTCTCAAAAGTTTGGATTTAAAAAAAAAAAAAAAAGACAATTTTAAGTTGAGGTTCTCCAGAGAATTGGTTCATGCAGTGATAGGGCCTATATGGCAGGCTGGAAATTCGAGTAAAAAGTTGATGTTGCTGTCTTGAGTCTGAAATCTGTAGAGCAGACCAGCTGCCTGGAAATGGGGCAGGATTTTGGTTTCTGTCTTGAGGAAGAATTCTTCTGTCCTTCCAAAACCTTGGGCTTGCTCTTAAGGTTTTCATTTGATGGAATGAAGACTGCCCACATTATGAAGGGTAATTTGCTTTACAGAAAATCAGCACACACACACACACACACACACACACACACACACACACACACACAACACAATACATTCATAACAATATAAAAATTAGAATTTGATCAAATAACTGGATATCCTAGCCTAGTCAAATTGCATGTCAGGGCAATACCATGATTAGCTTTGAGCTCTGAAACGTACTTTCTCGGGGCATGTGTGGAGAAGGAACTCTGACGCAGAGGTGTTGGCAGGAGATTGAAGACAAATGAGTAGACGTCTGTAACAGTGCAAACATCGGATGAAGAGACAATAGTTTGAGGATAAAAATAAGTGTACTTGATATTAAAAGGTATTATTCTGGATACACTGGAGAACCATCACATTTTACAGAATCCTTTTGTAAATAATTATAAATGACATACACATGTGAATGCGAATCGTCAGACTTAAATTCCTGCTTTAAGTGTAGGTATTTTCCTTCAAATGTTCTTCAGATTGAATACCATGTACAATGCATCGATGACAGATTTGAGTGATTTGTATTGGAGGCTTGATAACGAAAGAGGATAATTGACAGAGCTTTCACAAAGTATTAACAAATATAAGAACATTAGCCTTTGTGAAGATTTGTATGACCTTTTGCTTAAAATTTGATTTCTCAGTGGAATGCATTGTGATTGATGTTTTTGTTTCAGAAACAGGTCCAAGTCCTAAGGAACCGAATCAAATGCCTCCACGTAAGTCTTTATGCAACTATTTCGAAATGAAGCCTCCTGGGCTTCTCTAAGAATGAGTTGGCTAGTGAACTTTTGCCAAACTTTGAGTTTTGATAAGAAGACCTCTGTCCTCATTCTCCCTTCTCCCCACCCTGCATTTCTTCATTTTCCTCTTTATCGTTCCTGTTCTTGTATGGTTTTAATAGCATTGTAGTATATCACTTGATTTCAGAGAAGTTAATTATATGCATGTGAATATCTGTTGTGATTTGTTGTGTGAAGAAAGTCTTGACATACAGCAACGGGAGCTATTTGCTTTGAGGGCCATTAATATTCACCACGCTCAAAAAACCATTGCAAAGGAAAGTTGCTGTAGTATCTTTAGGACAGTCTAGTCCAACAGTCCTTGAAGCATTTGTGAAAGGCACATGAGAACTAGACATTCCAACCGCTATAGAATGATGAGCTGGAAATTATTCAGGCTAATTTCCTCTTCTGTGGAATTAGAAAATCTGTGTGGAATAATAATGTGTTAGGTGATTTTCCCCTGATTACAGTTGGAGCTTCAGGCAGGACTAGAATCAGGCCTTCCTGGCTGTATGTCAGGATGTTCTAGATATTTTCTTGTGAGGAAGATCTTTGCTACCAGGCTTGGTCTCCATGCTAATGCCATCCTACACAGGACGACTAGTCCAGAGTGTTCATTTATACTAAGCACTTTACTTAAGCAACTTTATTCAGTACTTAGCAGTATCAAAGAACTAGATATGAACTGGGGCGCTCTGGTGGCATAGTCCCAAGAAGCTGTGCTGCATTCGTGAAGGCATGTGATTTGAATCCACCGGCTGCTCCATGAGAGAAGGATGGGCAGTCTCCTCCTGTGTGATTAACTGCTCTGAAAACCCACTGGCAGGTCAGCCATAGGTCGGTTCTGACTGGACAGTACACACCACCACCACAAGACGTGAACTAGAAATAGGACCATATGAACACATTCTCTCATATGTGTATAGTTTGAGTATCATAAAGGACATCATCAATTTGGGGATTTTTTTAAACTTAGCAAAACGTTGTTGTTGTTGTTGTGTGTCATTGAGTCACCTGCAACTCATGGCGACCCTCTATACCTAAACCCTACTCTATCCTGTGCCAGTCTTATTGTCCCCAACACAACTATCCCATTTCCCCAGTCACTGAATCAGTCTATCTCATCGAGGGTCTTCCTCTCCTGCACTATCCCTCCACCCTCCCAAGCATGACATCGCTCTCCAAGAACTGGGCCCGCCTTGCAGCATGTCCAAAGTGTGTCAGACAAAGAAGTTTCAGAATCCTTGCCTCCAAGGAGCAGCCTGGCTTCATCCTCTCTAGGACAAACTGATTTGTTCTCCTAGCAGCCCATGGTATATTCAATACTCTTATCCAGCACTACAGCTCAAAGGCATCAATTCTCCTATTATCCCTTTCTGATGCATAGCAAGTAATTGCAAAGACCATGGCCTGTATCATGTGCACCTTAGTGTTCAGACAGACATCATTGCTCTTCAGTACTTTGGAGAGGTCTCTGACAGTCGATTTTCCCGATACAGTTCATCATTTAATTTCCTGGCTGCTGGTACCAATCTCTTGACCATCTATCACGATGCTGCCAATCAGCCCAGTGGTGACTTGTTTTGTTGATATTAAGCTTCAATCCATATTGAAGGCTTCAGTCCTTGACCATCAACAGCAAGTGGTCCTCCTCAGTTTCACCAAGCAGGGTTGTGTCATCTGTATAACATAGATTGTTGATGAGTCTACCTCCAATCCTGATGCCACATTCTTAAACTTAGAAAAACTAGTTTGTTGTTGTTATGTGTTGTGTGCTATTAAGTTATTTCTCCTCATAGAGTCTAGCCTTCTGTATAATCTGTTCCACATATAGAGTGAAAAGATATGGAGATAGGACACATCCTTGGCTCATACCCTTCTCAATTTTGAACCATGCATAGTTTCCTTTCTCTGTTCTGATGACTACCTCTTGGTCCAATTTTATTTCCAACAATAGTTTTAGAATTTAAGAATATTTTCATTAAAAACCTTAAAAGTCATGCCCCTTCTTTGCTCCTATAAGCATAAGAAGACAAGTTATCTTTTACTATCTGTCCCATAAACTAGATGAAATTAGGTTGGTGGCATGGTTATCTTAACTTCCAGAGAGTTCTCCCTAGTCTAGGGGATCCCATCACTTTTATAAAATTTTGTTTTATAAAACCTGGCTTCAACAGGTGAAAGGAGCTCTGGTGGTGTAGTCCATAAGGACTTGTGCTGCCAGCCCAAGGTGGTAGGAACCTCTGGTGAATCCACCAGCAGCTCCTCTGGGGAAAGATGAACAGTGTTCTCCTGTGCAAGTTACAGACTGAAAACCCCCAGAAGGGGGTCAGCTTTGAGTCTGTTCCATCTTGGTGCTAATAAGTTAGTTTATACCTTCATATTTGCATTAAAAAAAAACAAACAAAAAACAAAAAAAACCAAAAAACAGTTACCTCCCCAGGGTTTTATTCTGCTAAAACCCCTACTCCCTTGGAAACAGATTGTAACTTCTTTTATAAATGACTTAAAGAAGGTAGTTTTCTTAAAGGAAAGGAAATGTTCTATTTCTGTGGCCTGGAATTAATTTCAAATATAAAGTTCTTTGCCAAATTGAGGAACAATTGGTTCTATTTATGTGTTTTGCTGACCATAAAACTGACATCACACTGCACTGGAAAGTATTTCTGTTCTTCACATAGAAAGACCATAGTTGGAAAAGTGTTAAAACAAAAGATGTTTTCAATGACACAATACAGAGTTGTTAAAATTGAAAGTTTAATATGAGGATATCAGTGAAACACAAGTCTGTGGAATAGTATGTTCTGTAGTTTCTTCATTTTAGCCCCCTTTCTTCCTGTCTTTCATGCTTCTAACTGTTCACAAAAATGTTTGTGAAGTGTTGTGTTTTCTGTGAAATGCCTCATGTGCTGTGTTGGTTTCCAGGGAAATATTCGTTCCCTTATATGTATTTGCTTATGCCTTATCATTGATGTCAATAAGAAACAGTCCTTGTAAACAGGGAGTTTACCTTACTTTCCAAAGCACTCTAGTCTCTGAATTTTCATAGTAGGTCCTCAGGCTGACATAATAAACATAAGGTTTCAGAGTTTACAAATCTGACTTCTTTAACAAGTTCACTGCTCAAAATAAACTTCAAATGGAAGATCCTGGAAACCTGAGAATGCCCTTTTCCTTCCAGAAACGTTTGCAAGTTGTAAATATACGGTAGTTTGTAGAGATCTTCAGTACTTTCTCAAATTTTGTGAATCCTTGCTCCGGTGACAGGGTTTGTGAAATAGATGCAAAGTTGCCATCAATATAAAAGACACACCAAATTAAAGTATGTCTTTGGTTTCTCTCCTGTCTAGAGATTTTCCATGGTCTGGACACCCTGACTGTGATGGGCATTGCATTTGCAGCATTTGTGATTGGAGCTCTCCTGACAGGAGCCTTGTGGTACATCTATTCTCACACAGGTGAGTGGGACTGTTGGGCCCAACTCTTTTTTTCACTTATTTTGATTCTCATAGTCTTTCACCTCTCAATATTTTAATTATGCATAATTACATATACTTGCTTATACTTTATTGCAGATACTGAAACTCACCTCTGTGGAGTCAGAACTCATAGCTGACTCTCCATCATGTTTCCAAGACTGTAAATCACAATCCTGTGATTGCCCAGCTTTCTCCATCAGAGCTTCTGCTGGATTCAGACCACCAGAGACATACATAGCCTTTGGTTTAGCGCACAATTCCTCATGGACTGTGCCGAAAACTTCTTGTGTTAGGTGATGAACTGATACCCCATATTACGTACACAATTCCCAGAATTTTTACCTAGCTACAAACCTCAGAGGTCCCCAAATAGTGCCTGATTTGAAGCAGATTATTTGTTGGTGGCTCATGAGTAGGGCCTGCCACATGACAGATGCTTAGTGTTGTGTCGGAGAAATGAATCAATCAAAATAGTGGATGAAGGAGAAAGTTTGTTCCCACTATTTCCACATAGAGATATTTTTGCATAAGTAAGGTTTTACAAAAATATAATCTGCTCAATGCAATGTTAGAAAAGAATGTTTGGATACTTACTTATGTTAATTGGAGTTGAGATGTTGGTGAAGTTTCCTTTCCGATTAAGCTATTTTGTGGTTAGAGTTGAATTTAAAAGTTAATGTTGAAAAACTGGAAATATAAGCATTCCCACAAAGCTAAAGACTTCAGAATTGACATATAAATGGGCAGGAAGTGAGAAAAATGAAGCCAAGATTTTATTACCACATCTGCTAGGGTGCTAAACACTGACCACCAGGTTCTCTAATCTATGACTTAAACCCAATTTTTTCAATCTTTTTTTTAACCTATGCCATGCTTTTCTTCTTCAATATTTCATTGTAGTTTAGGTGAAAGTTTACAGAGCAATTTAGGTACAGATCGTTCCATGACCTTAGTTACAGTCATCCTGATGTCAGCACTCTCGCCACTTCCACCCCTCCAGTTTCCTTCCTTCTCATCGGTGCTTTTGTTTAAGTGTTGATTGTTCAATCTTGCATAGCCTAGCCTTTTTTTTTTTTTTTTACTGAAAGGTTACCTCTGAGTGTGGCATCAGTTCCAGGGTAAAAAGGTACTTTAGGGTAATAAACTCAGGGGTTCCCCTCATCTCTTATCAGTACTGTAAGTCTGATTTTTTTTTTATGAATTTGTGTCCAGTCTGTATTTTTCCTACCATTTTTAAGCAGGACCTTCTAAGGACACGTGTCAGAATGATGAGTGCTGGTAGCCAGGCACCATCTTCTTCTAAAGTTCACACACTGTAATAGAATATGCCCTATTTTCCTTTAATGACATAAAACTCTCATACCTTTCTATAAAAGTATTTAAAGATATCATTAAGAATTGAGAACAAAGATAAGCGATCTAACACAGTGCTTTGTTTTCAAGCTATGTTCCCTAATCCCCCGAAATTCTTATGTCCCCCACCTCCCAAGCCTAATGTTTACTGGTGTGAATGGAGAACTCATTCTCCATGGAGCAGTAGATCATTAGAGCAATAAGGACAGAACAGATGCCCCACTCCTTTATTGCTTCGTCCTTAGCTTCCTTGTAATTTTGAAGAGGAAAGACATGCATCTCCTTCATTTTTGAACATAGGTAACTGTGCTGGATCAACCAGAGGCTAATGGCAGGCCTAGCCTCTCTGTTTAGAATTTTGTTACTTTTCCATTGAACCAGTGAAGGCCATGATCTCTGACCTCACTCTAGGCCACACAGCTAGTGAAGTTGCAAGAATAACAGATAAAGTGAAGAGAAGCATTGAACATTTGGGGGGAATCCAATCTTAATCCTTTTGATTGCTAGACAAAACCTGAAACTGGTGAGAATAAAAAGCATGATCCTCTGTTACCCTTTATCCTTATTTAGTAAAGGGTTGGCAAAAAGAGAAGGACCCTCAAGGCAATAAATTGACACCGGAGCTGCAAAAGTGAGCTTACATATGGCGACGATTGTGAGGGTGATGCGGAATGGGCAGTGTTTCAGGCTTTTGTACGTGGGGTCACTATGAGCTGTAATTGATCTACTGACACCTGACAGCAAAATGAGGAGGAACTGATTCCTCTACTGATTCACAGACTTCTATAATCTTCAGAATCATTACACTTAACAATCTGATTTTTTTTTTCCTCACATAAAATATGTTGTTATTATGAACTAGCTCATCCCTGACCTTCCAGCGGGTTTTCAGAGGCAGTAAGTCCTATCTTAATCCTGCACCATCCTTATGATATCTTTCATTCTCAAGTTCATTGTTATGGTTACTTTCTTAGTCTGTGGCCTTGAGGGACTTCCTCTCTTTCACTGACCCTTTACTTTTCCCAGTATGTCTCTCGCCTTGAACTGGTTCCTCCTGAAAATATGCCCCAAATAATTGAGACCCAATTTTTATCATGCTTGCCTCTAAGGAGCACTCTGGTTGCACTGCCTTTAAGATAGATTTTTTTTAAGGTAAAAGTAAATATAGATTTATTAGAAAGTTACATATCAAAGGTATGGCCTTACTCCTTAAAAGGAAATTGGAGGAGAGGCAGAGGGCTAGTAAGACAGATTTGTTTGTTCTTTTGGCAGTCAATATCCTTTGCCAAAGCCACAATTCAAAAGCATCTATTCTTTGCTGATCAATATTCATAGTTCAACTTCAAGATGCAGAAGAAGAATTTGAAAATACGATAGCTTGGGTCAGGTATACCTTATTCTTTTAACTGACATCTTTGCTCTTAAGCACTTTGGAGAGGTCCTTGACAGCAAATTTCCCCAATGCAACACATCTTTTGACTTCTTGACAGCTGTTGTCATAGATTGATTGTGGATCCGAGTAAAAGAAATCCTAAACAACTTGAAGCTTTTCTCCATCCACCATGATTTTGCTTATTGGTCTAATGATGAGGCCTTTGGGGGTTTTTTATGTTGAGATATAATCCATATTGAGCCTTGTAGTCTTTGATCTGCTGCGGTTAGTGTTCGTTGTCATTGTCACTTTCAGCAAGCAAGATTGTGTCATATGCATAAGGCAGGTTGTTGATGAATCTCCCTCTAATCTTGATGCCACACTATTCTTCATAGAGTCCAGGTTCTCTAAGGATTCGCTCAGCATACAGATCAGATAGGGGTATGGAGAGAAGATACAACTCTGATAACCATTTTTGCTGACTTAATACCATGTAGCAATTGCTTGTTCTGTTCAGCCCACTGCTTCTTGGCCTATGTGGAAGTTTTACGTGAACAGCTCTTCGGAAACAACTTTTAAAATGACCAGAATGGACAGCTTTTAGCAGAGCAGCATTTTTAAATTAGTATTTTGGTCACAGGAATACTGACTTGTTTAAATCTGAAAATTCTTTGCACCTTTTTCTACCCTGCATAGCTGTGGGGTTCTAGGGCTATTGGCAGCCTCTGCTGTGTATTGAGAGTGAATTTGATACTCCTCTCAAGAAAACCATAAACATGAGGGTTTTGTACAGATGAGGCACCTGCAAGGGTTCCACATGTACCTACTAAGCCACAGACGGACCTTTGTCAGAAGGCTGCACCTTAACTTTCAAAGCTGACCTGTTGCCAACATGTGTTAGAAGAATTAAGACTCTCTCTTGCGGAGTATACCCCCATTGACAACCCCTTGGTCACCACACACTTTCATCCACAATCCTGACAAAAAGCAAAGCTCCGTTTAAGGTGTTTATTGCTGCTCATTGAATTTGGAGTTTTGTTGTTACTACTTCCTTCCCCCTAACACCACAGGCTTAGGAGGCATTTCTAAGTTTTGTTAAATATAGAAATAGTTTTGTCAGTAGTCAAACAAATCAAAAAAACCTTTGTGTGGTGCTTTCTAGCAAAATAAATTGTGCTGGTTCAGAAGGCTTAAAGCTCTACAAACATTGTCGTTTGGGCTATAAATCTGTTAGCATTACATACACTACAGGTTCAGAATTCCTTTATGTTAAAAACTATAGCTTCTGGTTCTCCTGGGAATATTTTATATGAACAAATTTAACTTTTATGCAAACCTGAGGAAGTCTTCAAATATGAAGATGACCCAATGGTAGAGGTTTCGGTCTGGAAGTCCCTTATTTCATTTTTTCTGTGATGAGCTATAGCAAGTTTAGATGAAGAGGGAGTGTTCTAATACAACCCAGCCAGTGGGCAGAAGTGAGGGTTCAAACCCTGCCTCAGTCCAGTTTTCACAATAAATTAAGCTGTAGAACTCAGACTTTACATGTTCTTTGTGGGGTTCAGGTAGTGTCTGCATCTATATAAAAAAACAGCCCTTAATGTGGATGACTTACACTTTAGGTGTGCTTCCCATTCATTTAGCTGCACAGAGCACCAAACCAGTTCACACGTTTGAATTATGTATGTCTACTTACATACCCAGAATGCAAGTGAGTCTAAGAAAGTTTGGTCCCCACTTTATCATGTGACAACACTGGGCATAAGGAGTTGTCAGATGATAAAATATTTTAATAAAGCTAGTATTAACTGCTTGGGAAAACTCCATATCTAAAACTACGGGGTCTCCTAACAGAGGGAAGGCAATAAATGGTGGAAATGGAGCAAAAATGTAATCAGAGACCCTTTCTGCACCTTGGAGAGTCCAGCTAATTCAGAGGTCCCCAGAACTCCTGTGTTGTTGTATGCGGTCAAGGCAATGAAGGTCCCTAAAATCATGTGCAAAACTATCTGTCCCTTTTCTGCATAGGTGTAAAAAATTGTTTTTTCATTAAAAAGTTTTGACTTTACCAGTGTAGTTGCAGGTAGTCGAAAAGCTGAAATAGTTCTACAAGACTCTGCACAAAAAAATGACAGCCCTATATTGCCCTTAACCCTGTGTCCTCCTCCCTAAAACGATGACTTTTGACTCTTTGCTGGTTCCCCCTTTGTCTCAACTATTACCAGCTTTTTGAGTGAATGTTAAGTCCCACAGAAAACCAAAGGTCAAGTGCAAACAGAATGGCCATCTTAAAGGAAGATGAAGGGCAGGAAACCGTGAAAGCCCTTAATTCCTATTTTGGAATACACTTGCTTTCCCCCATAATCTATAGGAATAACCAACCTACTTTTCTCTTGGAGAATTCCTTCTGTAAACGGTGGTGTTTTCACAAAGAGAATCAGAAAGCCCAGCTTTTGAAAATGTTTAGACATATTTAAATCTAAATACCTTTCAGGCATACGTTTGTCAGTCTTATATTTAAATATCACCTGAGAAAGAAATTCCATAAATTCCCTTTATAACTGACCAGTCTCCATAATCAGCAAGTTCTTTTCTATCTGACCCAAATCCCAGTGGCCGTGATTTCAACTCATTTCCTCATGTCCTGCCTTGAGGGAGATAGGGATGGTTGTCTGCTCCTCTAGAATAATCCTCTGTGGGCAGTTCTTGCAAGCAGCTTCCTTTGGGCTAAATAATTGGGATTCCTTTCATCTTTCTTTCAAACTCTTGTTATTGTTGTTTCTCCTTAAACCCTCTCTGTGTTACATCTTTCTTAGATAAAGTTTATTTCCTTAGTACCCAAAGCAAGACCTGTCTTGGTGAAAGATTTAGCTACAAAAAATGCAGTGGAAAGGCGATGGCAGGAAATTAGAACTGGATAGCTCTATGCCAAACTAAAGAAACAAATACATTTAGTAAAATATCTCCTAAGAAATACCTTTTTCTGTTTTTAAAAGCTCCTGGCACTATCTAGGCCCAGCCCCAGGCTGACATGTGAAATGAGTAGACTTCATCCTGTGTGCCCTTGTTGTCAGTACGCCTCTCTCCTCCTCTAAGAGCAGACACATTTCATCTGATGGTCAACTGTGATACTTAATGAGGAATCTTTGAACCTCCAGTCACTAAGTGGATCTTTTCTGCTTGGCTCATCCCTCCTCATCTCCTTCAGAAGTGGCATAATTGTGGGTTGGTTTTTTTTTTTTCTTTCACACCAAGGAATATTTTAGGAAAAATTCAGTGGGTTTTCCTCCTCCAGTGTCATGGAGCAAAGTCCCAGGAAATCATCTCAGAAAACACAAGGACTCCACCCTCCTTAGAGCAGGAACATCTATACATTCAACTTTTGTTTGGTGGATTTTTCTGCAGTGAGTAAGAAAGCCTGCTTAAATTTGTTAGAAAGTAAAATGCTATTATAAGTTTTATTATAAGCTAAAATCTTCATATCTTAACATGCAAAAATAGCCACAGAGGTAGAAGGGATAGTCTGAAGGAGGGGTTAGCGTAACATTTCCAAGTAGATTATGAAAGATCACCTGGCAGGTTATTGGACCAGAATCAAAAGGTCATGCAGTTAAATTGTCTAGTCCATCTTGATGAAAGGCATCCTACAATCTTGTACTGGGGGCAGCTGCTCTTTTGTTTTGGGTTTTATTTTGAACGGTGTTTTGAATTAAACAGGTTAAGAGTTTCCAAAGCCCTCAAAGTTAAAAGATATTTTTAATGAGTACTGATTAAAATAAACTGACATGGCAACAAATTATATTTGGCAAATAGACATCGGAAAGCAAATATTCCGACTTCCTGGGCAGGGAGTAGCACTGGCACTTTTCCTGAATGTGAATAATCAAACACATGTTAAATTCTGTAGAAAAGAAAATTGTTCACTGTTAATGGTTGAGGTAGGGCCATCTTGCAAGTGAACTTGAACTAAGCCAAAAAGGAAAGGAGTATGGCTGTTGACTCACCTCCTACTTGCTGATGCATCCTTTATTTGAAGGGACGTGGGGAGGTTTTTATAATGTGGTTCTTAAGCAGCCACATTACACCTAATTGCTAACATGAGGATCCAGCTGGTGTGTGGACCAACATGTAGGTTATAAGGGGGCTGCTGAACACTTAAAGTGTATTGAGATTTGTTCAAGTCTCTGGAGTATTTTTTGTGAACATCAGAATTTCTGGGAAATTTGATTCTCTTGTAGAAATAAAGGTCCCACTCAGAAAGAAGGGAATTTTTGGCAGAAAGTTGGTGCCATGCAGGCACACTTCTCCACCCATAATTACTTCCATGCATGAAGGGTAGGGGGAAATTCTGAGGAGGGTAAAAAAAAAAAGAGAAAGTGAAAGAACTGCAGTGCCCATCAGGGATACTGAGTGTGCTTCCCCTGCCTCAGCCCACCAGTTCTGGAGGCAGATGTATTCAGAGGAAACACAGCAAGCGTCAGATATACAACAAGCATATAAACACTGAGTCTGAAGCAAAAATGCATGGTGTTGTGTGTTTCGTCAAATGGGTGACAGAGAAAGCCATAACTAGACACAAGGGCATGAGCTGGTGCTATGCTTTGCAGGACTGCTTTCTTGGCAGAGGCTGTGAGAGGCCCTAGAAAGGGAGTGGAAGTAGTGGGCTCAGGTTCCCGTCCTCTGAGGGCAGAGCCTTTGCTGTTATTTTATTTTAAGGAAGTAGCCAGGAGGGTTGCTTATCTCTGGCTGATAGATGTGTGTTTCAGCATGACAGGAAAGAAGAGCCTCATTCATAAACAGACCCAGCCCTTTGGGGCTTCCCACATTTGAGGAAAGACTGCTTACAAGAAGTTTGTTGATGCTCTGACTTTTAAAGAAAACAGTGTTTTTCACTGGAGAGCCCTGATCACTTTTCCTCACCTAGAGTCCTTTTTTGAGGACTTCCCTGAGGCCAGTTTTGCTTAAAAAAAAAAAAGCTAACTCTAGGACCTTTTGTAATATTGAATGCAAACCATGTGTGTGACCTGAGATTTCCTCCCTCTCCAACACAGTGCACCATTGGCACAAAGAATAAATTTAACTGAAATACAGTAGAGTGTGTGTTAAAAAGTGAGTTCTTTCGTGTGATGGGAGATACCGTGGCCTCCCCAGTGAACCCCAGGATAGAAGTAGGTGTGCTTCCTGGCAACAGCCTTCCCCATGTGCAAAGCCTCTTTCTTTCCTCAGGTTTTTCACACAGCAGTCTCACCACTTCCTGCCCCATTGCTAAGGTAGGTTATCTGCTTAGTGCACAAGGCACTCTCTACTCGTAGTGGTGCTCACTTCTGGCCACCACATGCACAACAGAACAAAATATTGCTAGGTCCTGTGCAATCCCCACTATTGGCTACAGATTGGACAGTTGTGCTCTATACAGTTTTCATTGGCTGCTTTTTAGTCACAGATTGCCAGGTCTTTCTTCGTAGTCTTATTCTGAAAGTCCTTCTGTTCAAGTCATAGCAGCATGTGCACCTCCACAGACAGATGGGTGGTTGACTTTGTATGAGGAGCACCAGCCAGGAATCTGAGTCTATGAGGAAAGATGAAAACTCCCATTAAACCATCATTGAACCTCTTTTATATCTGCCAGGGTACCAAGTGCCCCTTAGAGTTCAAAAGTCTCACTTGGCATACTCTGCAGTAATTATGAGAATTGATGGGTCACAGTTATTGAAGACAAATGCTTATCACTTGGGGTGCATAGAACAGATGTTGGGCCCCCAAATCTGGGGAACTTTGTATCAGCTGTCAAGGTTCTTGGCCACTGTGTTAACTGTTATTTGAATTCATAATGATCTTCCCTTCTGCATTCAGGAGGCCTTGCAAGCAAAACAACCAGTAACAAAAACAAACAGGAAAACCTGTCAAGGTCTAACATCCAAGGCCTAGTCCAGCTACTTCTGCACTAAAATGCCAAAGTGGAAGTGTTTGGGTTTTTTTGTTTTTTTTTCAGGAATGTACCTGCCTAATATGCACCTCTCTTAACTTCTCTATTAACTGCAGGGACAACAGCAGGAAGGCAGCCAGTCCCTACCACCCCACCTGCCTCGGAGAACAGTAGCGCAGCCCACAGCATCGGCAGCACACAGAGCACACCTTGCTCCAGCAGCAGCACTGCCTAGCTGGGCTGATGCCCCCAAGGGCTAGGCCTGGCAGCTGGTGCCACGTGCCCAAACGTGGAAGGCTTCTGTTTGGATTCCTTGTAAAGAGTGAATTTCAATATAAAGTCACCTGATATATTTACCCCCTCTACCCAGGGCTAAGATAACCTGCCCCCTGGACTTCTAACTTCCATGCTAGAATTTCTGTAAGAAAGCAAAGATGGTGGCCCTTTTCACCGGCCCCTCACAGGCTTGGGGGTTCTCAATGTGAAACATATGCCAGTTTTTAAAATGCTGCTTCATCCAGGTAAGAACGTCAATATTTGGAGCCCTGAATTTTAGACAGACTCAAGGAATTGGTAAGAGATTTCTAGCCAGAGGGTAGAACCAGTAAGATGTGGCCAAAGATCCTTTTGTGTCTGAAGGGAGACATATAATGAAAGAAATGCTTTAAGACTTTGTAAACATCCTCCAGGTCTCATTTGCACCTTTCTTGGGATGCATCCTTCTTGATCTTACTGCCATATGCTGTGAGGTCTGAAGTGTCGCTTGATGGGTGCTGCCCTGGGGACTGCATCCTGACACACATCAAGGCAACATTCCTTCCTTGTGCCCTGGGCCAAAGCCAGTGCTGATTCCCTTTGTAGCATGCTGTGTCTCTATACACTTGCACACCAACTATAAAAATGTCTTAATGCTCATTTTCCCCATTTTTATAGACATATCAAAATTGAAAAATATCTAAATTCTGGGACTAACAATTTGTGCCCATGTATGACATTTTGCTCAGAGAGACGAACAGATATTTTGGGGAAGAATTCAGTTGTAGAGTGAAGAGGAATTTCTTTGGCTCTGCGTGCATGCACGCAAGTACAGGTATAGGATACCTATCAGTTGGCACATTAATTTTTTAAGTTAGAGAATATTCATTTTCCATGTGAAAATGCTCTGTACTTTCAGGGGTTGGAAATTCTTTTTAAGTACATCTGGCGGAACCTTTTTAATAGACCCTTTGTAAAAGCCACGCTCTTGTAGTTGCAAATGCATGGCCGGTCATGTTAGCCTCCATCCATTTATTTATCTGGGCAATGTCAATAGTTCTGCCAAGAAAGTATTGAGATAAGGAAAAGGGCACTCATTTCATTCTTTTGCCTTAATATAGCCCAAACACAAAAAAGAATTTGAGGGGAGTTCCTTTAAATAGAATAATAAGATGCCACTTTGCAGCTACAATAAGCTCAACTGATACCTCTATGTTAAGAGAGAATGCCAGAGGAAAATTTCCATGCCAGATCATTTACTGAGGAGGATCGCTGCATTGTTAATGAAATATTATTCTTTTTCCATAATTCTTCTCAAATGACTCAGAAGTCCACAAGCACAACAGGCTGGATTCTACTCCCAAAATATTCACAAGTATATCTCGCTGCCTTAAAAATAAAAAAGCTGTGCCTGGTTCTTTGCGATTGGAACCCGGAGAAGGAAATGAGGCTCAACACCTGAAGCCAGTGTCCCCAGGACAAGTTGGTGGAGATTGTTAGCCGTCGTTAACCAATCTCTGAGGAATACTGATTGATTTTCTAGGCGTAAGCATTCACTCAGGATCATTTTAACAAAAAAAGATTGAAAACTTTGCAAATTTCCACAGGCAAGTAATCAAGATGTGAGATTAGAGAACATTTTTCTCAGTTCATTTTTTTTAACATAAGGGTATCAGAATGGAAGACCTAAATTACTCTACCTGTGATTGAAAATAATGCGCTTTGCCTAACCTTCAGCAGAATGTATTGTTTTAGCATATTCTATGTATTAAAAAAGTTTAAAGATGTCTTCAAAGAAGACTAGAGTCTTTAAGTCACTTATAGCTATATTTTACTACCAAAAAATTGTGTATAAAGATATATTTAAGAGTTTTAGATAAATTTAAGTTACTCCATATGAAATGTTTAATTTCAGTTACTGTGAATTCTTTTTGATTAGTTTTTTGCTTTATAAACAAAATAAAAACAGTCCTTTTCCATCTTGTCTAAAAAAAGAGAAATTAGGAGGTATTAAAAGATCCATGTCATAGGTGGGCAGGGTGGCCCTTTGTAATATATTTAAATGTATATTTTTGAAAGAGATGCTACATTACCAATTATTTTATAAATAACTCTAATTCACAGATTTCTAGTTGCAAATCAAACATTTTTTTAAAAGGGAAAAATCATCTTAGATTTGAGCAAATTTATTTTAGTCTGTTTGTCAGAAGTATTACTTAAATTACAGTATCAGTGTCAGTGAAACTTTGATCCCATGTTTATTGGTGAGTGAATGACATTAACTACTTCTGAAGTGTTTCTTAACAATGAATGTTAAAGAATAGGGGTTTTTCTCCCTAGCTTTCTGTTACAGCATTTCTGATTACTCCATATTTCACAGTTAATACAAAGTACAAGTTCTACTTTTATAACTTGTTAACTGTTTTGAAAGCTTTAAAACTGTTGTCATATTCCAATCAAACTTTTCTTTCTGCAAGATACTTTGTTATATCTGCTGGCTAAACCATTCACAGAGGCCATTTTGTTGGTTTAATGCTAAAGCTGTCTTGAAATGCTTTTGAACTCTATGACAAACATTAACACTCTATAGCCCTTTCACAATGTGGTGTTTACCAGCTGTTACTCTGTATTTTAAAGAGATAGTCCATATAAGCTGTTTGTATAGCATTTTCAAGACAAAAAAAAAAAAGAAAAAAGTTTTTCCTTGTCCTGTAATGAGATTGTAAACCCATTTCCTGCATGATTGTGTGTTTGTGTGTGTGTGTGTGTGTGTGTGTGTGTGTGGTGCACACACCTGCCAGCTATCTTGTAATGTAACTACCTCATGGTTTGAATGGTGACTGTACTGCTGGTTGTGTCAACAGAGCACATTTTGTTAGGTGAGTCGTGGATGTGGCTTTTCCTCTTTGTTTTATCTTTGGTTTGTTCATAAAACTGACAGATTTTTTTCCTAAAGTGGACTATTACCAGTTTCCAAATTCAATACTTCTCTCTTCTGGATTTGTTTGTTGTTTTTTTCCCGAATGAGCCTGATTATATTGCTGTCCTTCACCAAATACAGGGGTAAAAAGAGTACCCTTGGAAAACCTGTGGCCAGTGTGAACACCCCTATTGTATTCCTTTTCTCTGTTCAGTGTCTCAGAAACTTTGTGAACATGCTTAGATGTATACTTTTGATAACCACAGTTTTAAGTATTTTATCTGTGCATAATAAAGAGATATATATCAATTATTAAAATGTGTATTGTTTGGTCATCTTTACCACCAGACACAGAGCTTTCCTCATTGTGACTTTATCTTCTACTCCAATTGTATGGATGAGGAGGGGAGGGAGAAGACTAAGCCCTTTCTTACATTTCTGCCCCTTTCTGGGACAGAGGGATAGAATGCAAGAACACAGCAGCAGTAGTTACCTCATTTCCTGAAAAATGGACAGGAAACTTGGAAATAGGGATGGACTTGTAACTCATTCCTGAGCCGTCTACCTGAGCCACCAAGGCCAGAAAAGGGAAATGATACCTATTTGTTGCTAATTGCCATAGAGATGCTCTCCAACAGGCCAGCTCCACAAACAACAAAGTACTGCCCAGTCCTGCATTATCCCCACAATCTGGTACCATTGTGACCCATAGGACTTCCATTGGCCAATTTTCAGAAGTTGATCACCAGGCCTCTCTTCCTGATCCATCTTAATCTGGAAGCTTCTCTGAAACCTTTCAACATCTTGTCTTTCACTGACAGATGAGTGGAAGCTCTGTGAAGTGGCATTCTGGCCTCCTGTGTGAAGATGAGAATTCTACCACTGAACCTCCATGGCTCTGCTGTTTTCATTCTCCTCAGATACGACAATGCTGCTTTTCTTCCAGCATCTTCCAGTTGCCCAAACCCAAAATCGGAATCTTCCTTAGTTTCTGCTTGGCTCCTGAAATCTCACATTAATAAGTCCAAATGCTGTCCTACCTTTAACTCTCCAGACTGCTGACTTATTTCACCTCTCACTTCTATCAACCAGTGACCAAGCCCCCATTAACTCTCAAGCTAAATTTCTGTAACAGCCTCCTAACCAGGATGCCCACTCTCCCTGTTTGCTTCTTTCCAATGCTGTCTCCAACGTGCAGTCCCAGTAATCCCAAAGAGACTAAATTTGCCACTCCCCACTTTATCACTCACTCATTGTTGTTGAGCCAGAAATGACACACAGCTGACCCTCTTGCTCATCTGTCTCCTGAAGAGCAGGTGGTAGATGTGAACCATCTGGTTTTGGGTTGGCAGTGCAACCAACTCATTACCCACTAGGCCACTGGAGCCCCAATCTATAGACTTTGCCTTCAGGATTAAATTGAAACTACATGTTATGTGTAGTCAAGTTGCCTGTGACCCATAGCGACCCTATGTATAGCAGCTCTGAAGCCTGCCCTGTCCTGAGCCAGTTTCACTAATACTGACATACCAATAACCCCCATTGCCCCATTTACTGTATCAATCCATCTCATCTGGGGTCTTGTGGCATCCCTCCATCATTCCAAGCATGATTTTCTTCTCAAAGGACCACTTTGCAGGCCACATGCCCAAAGTATGTGAGACAGAACTTAAAATCCTACCCACCAAGGATAAACATGGTTTCACCTTCTCCAAGACAGACATAATTGTTTTCTTGGTGGTCCATGGTATATTCAGTACTCTTCTCCAGCACCACAACTGAAAGGCATTGATTCTTCTATCATCCTTAGTCATTGTCCAACTCTCTGAAGCATAACAAGTAATTGAGAACACCATGTTCTGAATTAGGTACACCTTAGTCTCTAGACTGACATTGTTGCTTTTCAGCACTCTGGAGAGGTCCCTGACAGCAGATTTTTTCCCAATGCAATTTGTTTTTTTATTTCCTGACTGCTGGTGTTAAGAGTGTTGATTGTGGAGTTGAGCAAGCCGTAATTGTTAACAACCTACACAGGATTTCAAAGAAGAATGGCTATCATT